TTTTTTTCTTTTGCATGAAAGTTAGAAGAATAATTCAAAGTCAGTCAGTCATGTATTAGATGTTAAATTCATCATAGCACTTAAGGCATGGTTTTGAAGCACAAGGAAAAGGATTCAAAACCTTTATCAAAATTTTCTAAGCTATTATTCACATTGATAGCCTAGCACTGAATATAGGCATAACAGAGTAAATACTAGGAATGCATTCAAACACAAGATTAAAACATTGACGTTTGCCTAGAATTATCTTACGTGATTTAACTGTGTGTTCACCTTATAAGGCTTGGCATTGTTTATTTCTTCAATTTTGATAGATAACTTGTTTTTTATCTTGTTTTCTGATTTGTTTAGGATTCTCGTCTGATTACTCCTTTGGCTTTCGCTTTAACGTCAGATAATAGAGATCAAGTGCAGTCTGGATTGGGAATATTATTGGAAGCTGCACCACTCCCAGATTTTCCTGCATTAGTGTGAGTTTAAAGTCATCTTCAGTGTATTGCTCATTGTGCTGGAATACCTTGCTGCATTTCTTTAGCACTCCTCAGTGTATGTTACTGTTAAATGCTGTTGAGTTTGTTCCAACTCATGGTGACCCTGTATAAGGTTTCTGAGGCTTGAAATCTTCATGGGGGCAGAAAATCTCATCTTTCTCCCATGGAGTAGCGGTGGGCTCTAACTGCAGACCTTGTGGTTTGCAGTTCAGTGCTTATCATATGCAACGAATGTATTCCCTTAGTAGATATATAGATTAGTAAATAACTGAAAACATACTCCCTATAATAGTAATCTTTCACATTTTTTAATTAAGATAAGATTTTGATCCTACATATGATAGGTGACAGCAAAAGGCTAGATCCAGATGTTTTAAAATGTTATCAAGGTAATACCACGCTCAGTCTATCAAACTTCTATTTTTAATGACATGGTTTCTGTATGCTCTATCTTGCATCCTACTATTTTAATTCCTTCATAGAAAGAGCTTCTTCACAATTATTTAAGTATAAAATAACATTTGTCATTGATCAGAATCTGGTTCTTATACTAAGGAGAGGGGTCATCTATGAGAACTACATGGACTAAAAGTTTTTTTGGATACGGTAGGGGAGAGTTTCCCCGAAAGAAAATGGAAACTCTTATCTCAAAATGAAATGGATCCTGGTTAGGAGAAACAATGTACTCATTAATTTCAAATAATAAAAGAATGCTATTAGTTTTGAAAAAATTGAGGCTTTAAACTAAAAGTTTTGCAAAATATCTAGTAGGAGCTCTACTTTTCTATGGTTTATATAAATGAATTGGCAAAAATGGTGTGAATATTTTACTGAAGCATTTTTTGGTAACTAAGGCATCTTGTATTTCAGTGTTGACAAACCATTATCAATAGATAGGCCACCTGTTTTTATAAATAAGATTTTATTGGAACATAGCCATGTATATTTGTTTCCATGTTTTCTGTATTGTTTGTGGCTGATTTCATGCTACAATAGCAGAGTTGATTAGTTGCAGCAGAAATAAGATATTCTTTCAATCCTAAAATAATTTCTATCTAGTCATTTAAGAGAAAGGTTGCTAGGCCCTACAATAGGTTATTAACTAACCTTTGAAACCCATTTTTCAGAACAATATAGATGGTTATAATTTAAGAGTTGAAGAACCTGTTGTTGTTATTGTGAGGTGCCATAGAGTTGGTACCAACTCACAACAACCCTATGCACAATTTAACAAAGTACTGCCCGGTCCTGTGCTAACCTCAAATCCATGCTACGCTTGAGCACATTGCTGCAGACACTGTGCAAATCCATCTTCTTGGAGGTCTTCCTCTTTTTCTCAAACCCTTCACTGTACTAACCATGATATCCTTCTCCAAAGACTGATCCCTCCTGATAGTATGTCCAAAATACAGGAGACACATCTGGCCAGTCTGGCTTCCAAAGAGCATTCTGGCTGTTCTTCTTCCAACACAAATTTTGTGTTCTTTTGGCAGTCCATGGTATTTTTAATATTCTTCTCCAACACCATAACTCAAATATATCAATTCTTCTGTGGTCTTCCTTATTCACTGTCCAACTTTCACGTGCAAATGAGGTTATTAGAGAGTACTGTGGCTTGGGTCAAGCACACTTTAGTGCTCAAATGAGCATCTTTGTTCTTGAACAGTTTAAAAAGAGGTCTTGTGCCGCAGATTTGCCCTATGCAATATGTGATTTGATTTCTTGACTGCTGATTTCTTGAGCGTCAGTGGTTAATCTAAGCAAAATGAAGTCTTTTACAACTTCCATCTTTTCTCCATTTATATGGGTGTTATTTATTGGTCCAGTGGTGAGGATTTTTGTTTTCTTTATATAGAGATGCAACCCATGCTGAAGACTGTGAGCTTTGAACTTTATCAGTTAGTATTTTAAGTCCTCTTCAGTTTCGGCAAGCAAGGTTGTATCATTTGCATATCGTAGGTTGTTAATTAGTCTTCCTCCAATCTTGATGTCACATTGTTCTTCACATACTCCAGTTTCTCAGATTATGTGCTCAGCATACAAATTGAATAAGTATGGTAAAAGAATACAACCCTGGTGCACACCTTCCTATTTTTATACCATTCCATTTTCCCTTGTTCTCTTTGAACAGCTGCCTCTTGGTCTGTTTACAAGTTCCTCATGAGCACAGTTAATTGTTCCAGAATACTCATTCTGTGCAGTGTTGTCCATTGTTTGTAATGATCCACACAGTCGAAAACCTTTGCATAGTCAATAAAGCACAGGTAAACATCTTTCTGGTATTCTCTACTTTCAGCCAAGATCCATATGACATCAGCATTGACATCCCTTATTCCACAACCTCATCTGAACCCAACTTGAACTTCTGACAGTTCTCTGTTAGTGTACATTTTCAGCCATTTAAAAATTATATTTAGCAACATTTTACTTGTATGAAACTTTAATGATACTGTCCAGTGACTTCCACATTCTATGGGTCACCTCTCTTTAGAATGGGCACAAATATGGATGTCTTCCAGTCAGTTGGCCAGGTAGTTGTCTTCCAAATTTCTTGGTGTATATACGAGTGAGTACCTCTAGTGTTTGTTCAGTTTGTTGAAAGATTGCAATTTGTATTCCATCAAATCCAGGAGCCTTGTTCTTTGCCAATGCCTTGAATGCACCTTGGACTTCTTCCTTCAGTATCACTGACTCTTGATCATATGCTACCTCTTGAAATGGTTAAACATAAACCATTTATTTTTGGTACAGTGAACTCTGTATTCCTCCCATCTTCTTTCATGCTTTCTGCATCATTCAATATTTTGCCCATAGAATCTGTCACTATCACAAGTCAAGGCTTGAGATTTTTCTTAGGTTCCCTCATCTTGAGAAATGCTAAAAATGTTCATCCCTTTTGGTTTTCAACACCAGATCTTTGCACATTTCATTATAATATTTGACTTTATTTTGTCTTCTCGAGTTAACCTTTGAAATTTTCGACTCAGTTCTTTTATCTCCTCTCATGTCTTCCATTAGCTTTAGCATCTCTGCACTGGAGAGCAAGTATCCATGTCTTCCGACATCCATTTTGGTCTTTTTCATCTTTATTGTCTTCTTAATGACCTTTTGCTTTCCTCCTGTATGATGTTCTTGATGTCATCCCATAACTCTTCTGATTTTCGGTCTTTAGTGTCTAATGCATCAAATCTGTTCTTCAGATGATCTCTAATTCCATGTGTGATATATTCAAGGTCAGATTTTGGCTCTCATGGACTTATTTTAATTTTTTTCAGCTTTAGCCTGAACTTGCATATGAGCAACTGATGGTCTGTTCCACATTCTGCCCCGAACTTGTTTTTGCTGATGATTTGGAGCTTTTCCACATCTCTCTCCATAGATGTAGTCATTCCTGTGTGCTTCATCTGGTGAGGTCTATGTATGTAGTCGTCTTTTCTGTTGTTTTACACAGGTGTTTGCAATGAAGAACTCATTGATCTTGTAAACTTTTGTTGTGCAATCTCTAGCATCATTTCTGTCACCAAGGCCATATTTTCCAACTACTGGTCCTCCCTCTTTGTTTCTAACCTGCATTCCAATCACCAGTAATGATCAATACATCTTGATTGCATGTTTGATCAATTTGAGACTGAAAAAAATTGTTAGATTCTTCAATTTCATCAACAGTGGCTTTAGTGGTTGGTGCGTAAATTTGAATCTTTAGTGGTATTACTTGGTCTTCCTTGCTGGCATATGGCTATTATTGTATCACAGACAGCATTGGATTTCAAGATAGATCTTGAAATGTTCTTTTTGCTGATGAGTGCAACACCTAGACACCATGTATTCAAACTTCCTTTTATAATAATTATTTTTAAATAAGGAAATAGACAAAGATAGATGCATGTTTTTCTAGCTTGCTTGCTCCGGAGTGGAAAGCTACAGCTTCACTGAAAATGGAAGTTTCACCGCCTACCTGCATGTGAGATCTTCCTGCCATTTTCACTGTACCTTGTAGTGTTGTAAATAGTGTTCTTTTGAACATTACCACATGAATCTATTTATGCTTGCACTTTTATGTATTGCCCTTATTTGACATTATCCTAGACAGTTTTAAATAGTGAATTTATGTACTCAATAGATAGATGGATGGATATGTAGACTTTTTTTGTTGTTTTTAGTTGAAACATTTAGCAAACTTATAGTGTGTACCAACTATGTGTCAGGCCTTCTAGGCATTTTGAATATTGCGGGGAATAATAGTAGATGCCTTCAGTCGTGAGTTACGTTCTAGTTGAAAGACAAAGAAGCTAAAAAGAGTTTTCTATTGTGCTTGTCATTATGTATGGCGTGATTAGTTTTATAGTACTGGAAATGGGTTCAGTGAAGGCCTCTCTCTGAGGAGGTAAATTTGAACTAAGACCTGTGATATGAAACCAGCTTTACACATCTGATGATAATTTTCCAGGTAAAGGAACAGCACATACAAAGGCCCTGAGGCAGGAACAAGATGGAGTTTTTAAGCATCATAATGGAGGTCAGATTGGTCAGAACATACTCAGTAAGGGGCAGAATGAAGGCAATAGATGGTATTGTCCATAGTAAAATAAGTGACCAGTAACTTTGTATACCCACTCCTCACTTATTGACATAATTAGGTTCCAATGAACAAGTCATTATTCAAAGTGAAGTTTCATATTATGGGGAACTTTAGCAACCAAATGCACCTCAAACTCTTAAGAGTCATTTTGGAGGCAGCCCCCATGGGACTGCTGCCTCTTCTAAAGTCCTTGAAACTTACTCCACTCTGTGCCTTAACTTCTATACTTGGACAGTTGATTGACTTTGTTATTTCAAACTACAGACAAATTTGGTTCGGTCAGAATTTGTAACTAGGAAGGGACCCACCGTACCCACCGTACCCAAACGCACAGAGTTCTCCACGAAAATGTTCACCCACCCAGTACTTATACCCACACAAATGACTGAACTCAGGATCGCCTGTAAAGTGACTAGTGTCCTGCTGTGTCCCTTTGATGGTTTCTCCATTCTCTTGGCCCAAAGCTGCAGTTATGTGGTGGGGCAGCCACCAGCCCATGGGTCCTGGGATTTGGTGAGACCTCAGAGCACACGTACAGGTTAATAGCTCAAGGCCCCGGGACCAGCCTCTGGTTTCTTTCTCTTTATTCCCATCCAAGGCTAGGGAGAAGAGTAGGATGGGAGTGATCAAGAACTTGGGATTCAGAGAGGAAGGCAGTCTCTCACTCAAATTAGGTCATGAACCTGGACTGCTGATGTGGTGATACAGGATAAGCATTGGACTGCGAACAACAGTGTTGGCAGTTCAAACCCACCAGCTGCTCCTAGGAAACCCTATATAGAGTAGCTGTGAGTCAGAAATAACTCAACAGCACTTAACAACAACAAAAGGTGATTTAAGTAGATTTTTTGCTTTTTGTCAAAAATATGAAATGTCCAGATAACTAGATAGTCAGGAATAGTTAGTTGTACATAATAATATTTCAAAGTAATTCTTACTCACAAAATAGTTCCACGGTTATTCCAAAAAAGAGGTTGCAATATTAATAATGAGTTTAGGTAGGAAAGATGGGTTCTGCAAATTTACCGTATGTTCTAAAATCTTGCTTCATCATGGTCTTCAGGAAGATTATTTCAAGAATATTTGAATACTTCTAAAAAATCTGTTCTGAAAGATTCTTGAATTCTACACTATTTCTTTATTTTTAACAGTGATCTCTTTTTCCTTTTTGATCCTGCCTTTCAGACTTGGAGAAAGTATAGCAGCAAACAATGCCTATAGACAGCAGGAAACAGAACATATACCCAGAAGAATGCCTTTACAATCATTAAATCACAGTTACCCAACATCTGTAAAGTGTTTAACTCCTCCACTTCTGAAAGATAATATTCCTGGATTGAACATTGAAGAATTAATAGAGAAACTTCAGTCTGGAGTAGTGGTGAGTGATTGATACATGGCATTTATAAGTAGGGTAATGCTAATATAAACCAATCTTTTCTCCTCCAACACGCTGGTTGTACATCTAAACAGCTTCAAATAGAAAGTTCATCATTGAAATCTTACCTCTTTACGTTTATTTTAGAATATAAAAGTAACAATATTCTGTAAAGTTTGGGAAGAAAGAAAAAAGACTCAGTCGTGCAATTACAGCATTTTAACACATCTACCATTCTTTCCCTGGAATCCTGGTATGGTGCTGTAGGATAAACACTGAACTGTTAACCACAAGATCAGCAGTTCAAACCACCATTCACTCCTAAGAAACCCAATGCAGGGTCGTCATGAGTCAGTGCCCACTCAGTGGCACTTAAACCACAACAGCCATTCTTTTCCTAGTTGTTTCACACCTCACAGCTTAAGGATATTTTCTAATTCCCACAAGCATACCAGATTTTATCTTGACATTGCTCTGCGGTAGTGAACTGCTTGTGACCAACTTACGTGTCTTTAGTTCATTTTTTTGTTTTGTTTTGAGTTCTTTATTTCTCATTGAATGTAAATTTCATGGTAAACATTTATTTTGTTCTTTTGTCCAGTGTTAAAATGTTTTGGCTTTTGAACTCTCTGTTATATTAAAACCTAGGTAAAGGATCAGATTAATGATGTAAGAATTTCTGACATAATGGATGTATATGAGATGAAATTGTCCACGTTAGCTGTAAGTACTGGCTTATTGTAATTATGTGTAGCAATTAAATTTAATAATGTTTTAATGCAAATGACGATGATTAATGGTATGTTTTCCTACAGTCCAAAGAAAGCAGGCTACAAGATCTCTTGGAAGCAAAAGCTTTAGCCTTGGCACAGGCTGATAGACTGATTGCTCAGTATCGCTGTCAAAGAACTCAAGCAGAGACTGAGGTATGTACCACTTAAAATTATATCTGATTAGTAGAAAAATTATGAAACAAAGCATGTACCCAAGAAACCAAACCCACTGCCACTCATCAGTGACCCTACAGGACAAAATAGAACTGTTCCTTAGAATTTCCAAGGCTATAATCCTTAAGAAAACAGACTGCCTTATCTTTCTCCCAGGGAATGAATGGTAGGTTCATAACTGCTGGCCTTCCTAATAGCAGTGAAGTGCTTTAACTATTGTGCCACCAGAGCATTACTAATTTAAATATTTGGTACTCTTGACAGAAATTCTCTTCAGCATTGGACATACCTACTCCCTCCTTCCTGAAACTCTTCCCTTAAATTTTAGTTACATCAGTATCTTCTGGTTATCTTAATAGTACTTTATGAATATTCTTCCATATACTTTATAAGCTTTTCTTCTTCCATTCAACTCTGAAATTTTGGAGTTTCCCTGAATTCTGTTCTTTGCCCTTTTCCCTTCTTATATTTGTCATGCTTTCAACCATTACCAAATGTTGATTTTTTATGCTTAGCCTACATCATTTTTCCTGATCACTACAACCTCCACTTATGTAGATGTGTGTGTGTGTGTGTGTGTGTGTGTATAAATAAAATAAACACCAAACTCAGAATAATGAATTAATAACTATTCCCCCTATTGCTCTTAGCTCTTTCTTTCTAAGTTAGAAACATAGGAATCATACAGCATCTCTCCTACAATTAGTCATTTACTGTGCCTGGTTGATTCTACCTCCTAATTATTACTCATTCTGTTTTCTTATTTTTTCATTGTAATACCCTCTTCTCAACCTCCTTTACACTACTGTCCATGTTGTGTTTATCCTCCTTTCAAACACCCACACCCATGCACACCAATACCTATCACTCCTATACTGAATACCCTTAACAGTGCTCACCATTGCTCTCTGAATGTAAATTAAATTCCTTAGTTTACCATCCAAGAAACTTAACTACCTCTCAGTGACTCTCTACATATCCATTCACTCCCTCCAGCCACCCATATTGGAGTACTTTGCAATTGTGAAACCTGCCTTACTATTGTGTTTACTTGCCTTTGCAATTGTTGTTCCATATGTCTGGAGCACCTTTTATCTGTTTCCTTGCCAAATTCTCATAATCCTTCAGATTCCAATCATCCACTTCCCAGATCCTTCTCTGTTCTTTCTCTTCCAACATTTGTGCTTGGTGATTCTTCCTCTAAGCATCTGCACTATTGTGGCTAGGTGCCCTCGAGTCAGTACCAATTCTTAACGTTCTATACACAACAGAGCGGAACACTGAGTGGTCCTATACCAACCTCATAATTGTTACTACACTTGAGCCTACTACTACAAAGTTGCTGCTGCCACTTTGCCAATCCATCTGGTCTTTTTCAATGACCCTCCACTTTACTAAGCATGATATCCTCTAAAGATTGATCCCTCCTGATAATATGTCTGAAGTTTGAGAGATGAAGTCTGGCCATCTTGGCTTCCAAGAATCATTGTGACTATACTTATTCCAACATAGATTGCTTTGTTCTTTTGGCAGCCCATGGTAATTTTAATATTCTCCTTCAACACTATAACTAAAATGCATGAATTCTCTATGGTCTTCTTTATTCATTGTCCAACTTTCACATGCTTGTGAGGGTTTCGAAAATACCATGGCTTGGGTCAGGCACACCTTAGTTGTCAAAATGACATCTTTGCTCTTGAATGCTTTAAGGTCTTGTGTGCCAGATTTGACTAATGCAATAAATACATCACTTAATTTCTTGACTGCTGCTTCCATGAGCCGTTGATGGTTGATCCATCAAAATGAAGTCTTTGACAACTTCAGTCTTTTCTCCATTTATATAGCTGTTTATTGGTCCAGTGGTGAGGATTTTTGTTTTCTTTACATTGTGGTGCAACCCAAATTTAAGGCTGTGGTATGTGAACTTTATCAGTATTTTAAGTCCTGTTTGTTTTTAAGCTTGTGTCATCTGTACATCGCAAATTGTAAGGTTCCTCCAACCCTGATGCCACGTTTTTCTTCATATAATCCAGGTTCTCGAATTATTTGCTTAGCATGTAAACTGAATAAGTATGGTGAAAAAATACAACCCCAGAACACACCTTTCATAATTGTAAACCAGTCCATGTTCCCTTGTTCTGTTTGAACAACTGCCTCTTGGTCCATGTACAGATTCCTCATGAGCACAATTAAGTGTTCCAGAATACTCATTCTCCACAATATTGTCCATAGTTTGTCATGGTCCAAACAATCAAAAGCCTTTGCATAATCAATAAAGCACAGGTAAACATCTTTCTGATATTCTCTCAGCCCAGATCCATCTGACGTCAGCAATGATATCCCTCCTTCCATGTCCTCGTCTGAATCCAGCTGAACCTCTGGCAGTTCTCTGTCAATGTATTGTTGCAGCCATTTTTTAATTTTCTTCAGTAAAATTTTACTTGCATGCATTATTAATAACACTGTCTCATGATTTCTGAATTCCTTTGGATCGCCTCTCTTTGGAATGGGCACAAATATGGATCTCTTCCAATATGTTGGCCAGGGAGCTGTCTTCCAAATTTCTTGGCATAGATGAGTGAGAGCCTCCAGTTGCCAAATCAGTTTGTTGAAAGATTTCAATTTGTGTTCTATCAATTCCTGAGACCTTGTTCTTTGCTAGTGCCTTCAGTTCACCTTTGACTTATTCCTTAAGTATTATTGGCTTTTGATCATATGCTACCTCTTGAACATCGACCATTTCTTTTCAGTACAGTGACTGTGTATTCTTTCTATCTTTTGATGCTTTCTTCATAATTCAGTATTTTGCCCATAGAATCCTTCAATATTACAACTCAGTGCTAAAGTTTTTCTTCAGTTCCCTCAACTTGAAAAATACTGAACGGGTCCACCCCTTAAGGTTTTCTGACTCTAGGTCTTTGCAAATTTCATTATATTTGACTTTGTCATCTCAAGCTGACCTTTGACATTTTCTGTTTAGCTCTTTTTCCTCCTCCTTTCTTCCATTTGCTCATGCATCTCTGTGCTGAAGAGCAAGTTTTCAGAATCTCTTCTGTCATCCATTTTGGTCTTTTACTTCTGTCTTGTGTTAATCACTTTTGCTTTCTTTCTGTGTGATGTCATCCCACAACTCTTCTGGTCTTCTGTCATTACTGTTTAATGCATCAAATCTGTTCATGAGATGATCTCTAAATTCAGGTGGAATGTGTCCAAGGTTGTATTTTGGCTCTCGTGGACTTGTTTTAATTTTCTTCAGCTTCAGCCCGAACTTGCATATGAGTAATTAATGGTCTGTTCCACAATCTGTCCCTGGTTTTGTTTTCGCTGATGATATAGAGCTTTTCCACCATCTCCTGTTAGGATACTGCAAAGTCGGTTTGAACCTCAAGGTCAGTGGTTCAAACCTGTCAGCAGCTCTTTGGAAACCCTTTACAAGGTTGCTATGAGTTGAAGCTGATTCAACGGCACTTAACAATAACTTTTCGCAGATGGATTCTACCTGATGAGGTCCAAGTGTACAGTTGTCTTTTTATGTTGTTTAAAAAAAGCATTTGCGATGAAGTCATTGGTTTTGCAAAATTGTAATTGCAATCCCTAGCATTTCTGTCACCAAAGCCATGGTTTCCAACAACTGATCTTTGTTTTTGTTTCCAACCTTTGCATTCCAACCACCAGAAATTATCAATAAGACACAAGGAAACATCTTTCTGGTTTACTCTGCTCTCAGGCAAGAACTATCTGATGTCAGTAATGATATGACCACTTCCACATCCTCATCTGAACCTAGCTTGTATATTTCATAGTTCTCTGTCAATGTACTGTTACAACTGTTTTTGAATTATCTTCAGCAAAAATTTACTTGTTTATAATATTAATTATCTTATTTCATGATTTTGTTGGGTCACCTGTCTTTGGAATATGTACAAATATGGATTTCTTCCAATCAGTTGTTCATGTCTTGTAAATTTCTTAGCATAAATGAGTGAGCACATCCAGTGTTGCATCAGTTTGTTGAGACATTTCAATTTGTATTCCTTTGATTCCTGGAAGCTTGTTTTCCACCAATGCCTTCAGTGCAGCTTGGACTTCTTCATTCAGTATCATTGATTCTTAATTATATTCTGCCTCTTAAAAGGTTAAAGATTGACCATTTCATTTTGGTACAGTGACTGTATTCCTTCCATCTCATTTTGATATTTTGTGCATCATTCAATACCTTGCCCATAGATTCCTTCAATACTGCAATTGAGGCTTGAATTTTTTTCTTCAGCTTTTTCAGCTTGCGAAATGTTGAGCATGTTCTTACCTTTTGCTTTTCTAAACTTCAGATCTTTGCACATTTCATTATTATACTTGAGTTTGTCTTCCCTAACTGCCCCTTAACATTTACTTCCTCATTTCTTCCATTCCCTTTAGCATCTCTATGCTGCAGAGCCAATTTTAGAGTCTCTTCTTCTTTCCATTTTTGTCTTTTCTTTCCTCTCTTTTCAATACTTTTCTTCCTATATGATGTTTCTGATGTCATCTCACAATTCATGTCTTTGGTCATTAGTGTCTAATAGATCAAATCTGTTCTTGAGATGATCTCTAAGTAATGTTAGCATGGTTTCCAGCATCACAGCAACACACAAGCCACCTTAAGCATATGTGGTGTAGCTTAAGCTCTTATTCTTAACCTGAAATGGAATAACTAAATGTCTGAAAACTTTGGCTAAATATAAGCACTACATATCCTTTAAGATGCCCTGGTAGTACCGTGTATTAGGCATTAAGAGCCAACCACAAGGATGGCAGTTTAAAACTACCATCCACTCTGCGGGAGAAAGATGAGGCTGCCTGCTCCCATCAAAACTTAGTCTTGAAAACCCTGTATCGGGTCACTATTCATCAGAATCAACTTGATGGCAGTGAATTTGATTTTATATGTAAAATTTATAAACCAAGACCTACCTTTATGTTTTGGAGTCCTGGTGTGGCGCTGTGCGTTAATGTGCCAGACTGCAAAGCCGATTAAACTGCAAAGTTGGCAGTTGAAGCTCACCAGCTGCTGCTCCTCAGAAACCCTGTACAGGGTCACTATGGGTCAGAACTGACTCGATGATACTTCAGAACAACAACAACCTTTGTGTTTTAATTGTTAATTTCCATTAATTGGATTACAATAAGCATCTGATTAAATAAAAACTAGTAGTATCAGGTTTATATAAAATAACTTAAGGAATATATTTGACAAATGCAACCTTGGAAACCTGGTGTGGCACTATAGGATAAGCACTGGATCATAAGGTTGGTTTGACCTGCAAGGTCAGCAGGACAAACTCACCAGTTGCTCCTCAGAAATCCTATACAGGGTAGCTATGAGTTGGAGCTGATTCGATGGCACTTAACAGCAACAACAGTACAATCTTAGTCAAATATTTTACTTTATTATTTCTAACAAATCTGATGCTGTTATGGTTTTTCATTTGACTAATACAACTTTGGAGTCCTGGTATGGTGCTGTAGGATAAGTACTGAAATTGCAAGCTTGGTTTGAACTTCAAGGTCAGTGGTTCAAACCCACCAGCCAGCCACTCCTTGGAAACCATATACAGCGTCACTATGAGTCGGAACTCACTCAACAGCACGTAACAATAATACAACCTTACATATCCCCATATATGCTAGCCTGTTAGTTGTTTGGTAAATCTTTCAAATTGCAGAAACTGAGCATATTACATAAATAATAGTGGGAATGTTTTGGTTCTTTTGAAGGCACGAACACTTGCTAATATGTTGAGAGAAGTTGAAAGGAAAAATGAAGAACTTAGTGTGCTTCTGAAGTCACAGCAGGTTGAATCAGAAAGAGCCCAGAATGATATTGAGCATCTCTTTCAACATAATAGGAAGTTAGAGTCTGTGGCTGAAGAGCATGAAATACTGACAAAATCGTACATGGAACTTCTTCAGAGGTAAAGTAAAAGTTGCTGCATAAGATAAAATCTAGAAAAAACCCACATTTTTTGTGTCCTTAGAATATTTTTAAAGCAGTTTGTGTATTCTGATCATATAAAGTTAACTAGTAAGCAAGTAACTAAATCATTATGAAATGAAGTATTGTTTCCTCAAGCTCCATAGCAAAGTTGAAAATCAGAACTGCTCTCTTTCTTTCCAGGACTCTACTTTTATTTATTGATAGAGTCATTTGGGCCCTGAGTTCCATAGGACAATTTTCTTCCTCTCTCTTGTTCACTGCCACATCCCTTTGGGCTAAATAGGTCTTGACATGTAAATAGAGTCAGCCACTCAGTAAGTATTTGCTGAATGGACTGAATTATAACACCTTCAGGTGTTTTTTTTTGTTTTTATTGTTTTCATTTATATTTTAAGATTAGTTAAGATTTATTTTTAAATGTTCCAGTTATGCTATTAATATATAGAAAAATTTTTAGCTTTGCAAGCCTTAGTTGCAATCAGTTTAAAATGAAATATGGAACATGAATAACATCTAGAAAATTTGTGATGACAAGGTGGTTTCTAAACAGGATTTTTTTCCTGCTCTTCTTTCCTACCATTTTTTTTTTTTTTTTTTTTTTTTTTTTTTTTTTTTTTTCTTTTCTTTTTTTCAATAGCTGATTTTCTGAGGCAGCACAAATAGAAAGCCCTATTAGTGACAAAGGAGGTTGTAGAAAAAAATAGTGGTCCAAGAAACATAGGTGATTTCTTGAACCTACATAGGAATCACTGGTTGGCACAAACAGTTTAAGTGCTCAACTACTAGCTCTCCATTCAAACCCACCTAGATGCACCTCAAGACAGCCCTGGCAAGATGCTTCAGAAAGTTCTGTGGTGCAGTTCAACTCTGATACACATGAAGTTTCAATGAGTTGGAATATACTCAGTAGCAACTACCTGAAAACAGCCTAGTTGTAAAGTAAAACTTAACTTCTTCGAAGAGCCACCTGGGTATAATAAATCAATGACCCTGGTTGGAGAAAGGTCATTTAAATTAAAATTTTTGAAAGCCCAATTTGGACAATTAAATACTAATGCTGGTTAAATTTGGAGAGTGCCTCCAGTTTTTTATCTTTTTATTTAATGAAATATAAGAAATACTTTATGTCTAAGATACTGAGTTTTTACACATCACATAAAGGGACCAAAGGAACATAGAATCCTACACTTACTAATTACTAGAAATATTTATTGATTTGACATTTGTAATTAGAAACATATGCCCAAAAGGCTAATGATACCATCCCCTTTTTTAAGCGTTTGTTTTTGTTTTGTTTTGGTTTTTTTTACAAAATTTATTAACTTCTGGTCTTAACTGCACTGATACATCAAATTGTGTAATACAATATCTGTAAAATAAAGCATACATCCATAAATATGAATTTAATACTATACACATTTCCATTTCATGGTAGTTTTTACCACATCAGTCAACAAAAACATTTTTACTGCCTTGTACAGTTGATCAAATTATCTTTATGTCCTGCAATATATATAATTTAGTTAATAGAAATAATAAACGCTGAGCTTTATGGAATTTCTTCTCTCCATCATATGTTTTTCTCCCTCAAGATATTAAAATATGTCTCTTTTTTCAGGAATGAAGCTACAGAAAAAAAAAATAAAGATTTACAGATCACATGTGAATCTCTGAGTAAACAAATTGAGACATTGAAAAAGTTGAATGAATCTCTCAAGCAACAAAATGAAAAGTACAAATCTCTAGTTTTTTATAATTATTTTAGAATTTTCATAAACAAAATGATTTTCTTTCCATATAGAATGCTATTTATATTGATAAAATTATTAGAATCATAAAAGATATAAAAATACATTTAATATAATTAAGGATAATTACTGCTTCTGTAAAATTTTCTCTTAAAGTAGTGGTTGGCATGGTTCACTGATTTTTTGCCCTTACTTTTTTCTGTAACCTTAGAACTATTGCCCAATTAATAGAGAAAGAAGAACAAAGAAAAGAAGTGCAGAACCATTTAGTAGACACAGAATGTAAACTAGCCAGTAAGTAGCTCCTCAATTGATAAGTATCTGTTTTATAACAAATCTTGCATTGAAGGGAAAACTTAAGTGATTTTTCTTTTTCTGTACCATATCTTCCAGTTATTTCATTTTTTTTAAAGTCATAAATTGCATCCTACACAGCTCCCCTTGTCTTGCCACAACATTTCACAAAACCATTTTAGTTGGAGTTGTTGTTAAGTGACGTCATCAATTCTAAGACATAGCAATCCTGTAAAGGGTTTCCGAGGAACGGCTGATGGTTTTCATCTGTGGATCTTGTGGTTAATAGTCCATTGCTTATCCTTCAGCACCACACCACGATTCGTCTTAGTTGGAGTGGTCAAATGGAAATCTAGGAGTTATGGAAAATAATTGCCCTTTATAAAATATAAATTTTTTAAAGAAATGTAACAGCAGGTGGCAGTGCTAGGTAACTTTTAGTTACTAGCTTCTTAATGTTAGTAGTTGTGAAATGATCCACTAAATAACGTTGTTGTTTTTTTTTTTCCTAACTTGACTTTAAGTGCAGATACCTGCCTTTGTAATTTCTTTCTCTCTCTTTTTTTACTAACCCTTAACTTCTGAGGGTTGTCATTCTCTATTGTATGTTATAATGAGAATAAAAGGGATCAACATGGAGATTTTGCATTTTCTCTATAATACTTGTATACAGGAGTCCTGGTGTGGTGCTGTAGGATAAGCACCGGATTGCTGACTGCAAGGTTGGTAGTTCAAACCCACTAGCAGCTCTTTGGAAAATCCTATACAGGGTCACTGTGAGTTTGAACCAACTCAATGGCAGTTAACAACAACAGCCAGTATAGTGAAAGGATTTTGTGGTACTTCTATTCAGTACATATTCTAAAGTTTATATCTCCAGTAAAATATTTTGTGATTTTCTTACTTGCCTTTCTCTTGTAATAGCTACTACACCTATTCAGAATAATATCAGTAAAAAAAAAAAAAAAACTATGAGTTATAACCAGCTGTTTGTTTGCTTGTGTTTAAGATTTGCAACAAAAAGCTGTGGGACAAGAAGAAAAAATTAAAACCTTGCAAAAAGAAAGGGAAGATAAAGAAGAAACCATTGACATCCTTAGAAAAGAATTAAGCAGAACGGAACAGATAAGAAAAGAGTTGAGCATTAAGGTAAGAATCTGTTCAAGTTCTCCTTTATTAAGATCCCAAAGTGGTTTGACTATCATTTGTTACAAAAATTCTGATAATATGAAATCCTTTTTTCCTAAAATCATTCATCACATATTAAGTACATAGTGTTAGCATTTAATTAGTTTCAGGTGGGCAAAGAATACAGTGAGGCTCTCCAAGTTATTGGAGTCACATATAGATAGCTGTATAAAGCACATAGTCTGCATCTTTCTGCTTAAATATGTAAGGATGGTAATAATAAATGCTCACATTTGTTTAGAACTTTATAGTTTCCAAAGGACTATAAATATTTATAATTTTCCTAACTGTAGTGGCGGTGGTGTGCTGTGGAGTCACTTGGGTTTCCGACGCTGTAAATCTTTACGGGAGCAGAAAGTTTTGTACTGCTGCCCTTGAGGTTTAGCAGTCTGACTTGTAACCACTAGCCTACCAGAGCTCCTTTTCTTAACTGTAACAAAAACTATATAAATATTTTCAAGTAACAAATGAAGAAACTGAGTCTCAGGTTAAGTTACTTGTTCAAGATCAGTCAGTAAATGAAATTCTGAATCGAAGTCTTGGGCTCATTCTGCACTATCATGATTGTGTTTAGTACAAGTACTTGTGAATAGCAATTTCTGACCCATTTATTAGAAAGATGAGAACAGACTAAACTACTACAGAGCATGAGTTTAAAAAAAGGCATCAAATTTAACCCACATTCACAGATTTCCTGCTTCTGCTTTAATATAGTTATTTTCATAATAATTCTAAGAAGTATGTAGTATTTTCAGCTGCTGGCATTGACTTAAAAGGCAAGTTGAGATATCTTTCCAATTCATATTATATTTACTAATTGCTTACCTAAAATTTCATATAATTAAGCTGACTAAAATAGAATCCATATTTATAATGTGTCTTTTGATTGCTTTTTGTTTTGTTTGTTTTGATTTGTTGTTTTCCATTCCATCCCCTCAATCCCTTAGGCTTCCTCCCTAGAAGTTCAAAAGGCCCAATTAGCAGGTCGGTTGGAAGAGAAAGAATCTTTGGTGAAACTTCAACAAGAGGAATTGAGCAAACACTCTCACATGATAGCAATGATCCACAGTTTAAGTGGTGGAAAAATAAGTCCAGAAACTGTTAATCTCAGTATATAGACATGGTGGGATTTTGAAGTTTGTAATGGTATTTGTGATGTATTTATCTATTGTGGGATAAGGGAGGGAATTTGTGACTCTAAAACACTCAGAAATGATTCATACAGTAAACATCCTGTTCTGATACATTTTTGTTTTTTTGAATAGAGAAATATTTTTAAAGTTTTACTGTCTGTTTCTGACTTTTATTGCTTAAAGCCTTTTTTGTTTCTTCTATTCTAATTTCCTTTTCCTATCATTCTGTTTTTAAGGTTTTTCATTTTCCTTAGTTGATTTCTGCTCTCATCTTACTCTTTTTGAAATCAAATGTTCATGATATAAAATTCCTAAAGATTAACAAATTAAAAATACAATTAATAAAAAGAGAAAAGGTATAATATAGTATTAGAGAAGTTTTTCTTTAAAGTAGTACTAAAGAAATAAAAAAAATTTTTTTTTACAGTATTTAAGATCTATGAGGGGCTTTCAAAAAGTTTGTGTCATAAGTTCCAAATTTAAAAACTGATATAGTGAGTAATTTTCAAAAATAATGTGGAAGAACTTTAAAATAGCTACGTATTAAATAATAGCATTGTCACATAAAGAACTGTAATTACTAGTAGAATTTTTGTATAAGGTACTTTTAGTTCTTTTGTCTTTTTAAAATGATACATATTGAGTCCCTCTGTCACTCGTAGTCAATTTTGAATGTCTAATGGTTTCCATAAGAATAATTCAGATTGTACTCGTGCTACATATTTGGAATTTAATATTCATCATTAAGTGTGATGTGAATTGCATTTAGTGTTAAAGTATAGACTAATATATTTATGTATTTTTAATGCAAGGAAAGTTTTCAGTATTTTTTTCATTTGAATCAAATGATGTAAGTAATGTGTTTAAGAAAAGTATATCAATATTTTGATAAATCATTCGTTTTAGTGTTTACTTCCTATATCTCTGCTTGATTTTAGTGAATTTAGAAACATACTCCTAATTTTTAGTCCTAGTTATCTCAATTTATATTTAGGAATTAAACACACATATATTTTAGAATGTTACTAATGATCCTAAATTATATCAAACTATAATAGTTTTCTGTATTTGTAGACATTTTGTAGTATCTTGAAAAATTTAAAGCATTATGCAGATTTAAATGTGTTAAACTGCTACTTGTTCTGTAGAAGTACGTTCTGTTTTCTTCTGAAACAATGTACATTTTAAATTTAGTATGAAAAAATTGTTTCAATGGATGGATATGATTAAAAAACTGAAAGTAAATTCTCATCTAACCAAAGTTTTGCATCAGATTTATAAGCTAAGTATATGAATGAATTAAGCAAAAGTTCTAGGGAAAAATCAACATTTTGACAATTTAGAAACTTGTCAAGACACTGAGCCTAGCCCATTACTACCCAATAGAACATTAGGCAATGATGGAAATGATCTGTATCTTTACGGTCAAGTACTGTAGCTATTAGCCATGTGTGGTTGTCATTCACTTGATATGTGGATAGAGTAAATAAGTAAAATTTAAATTTAACTTTAAATCACCACCATACTAGTCAATGTAGATAGCCTATTCTTGCAGGTAGGCATTTGTTTAAGCTACTATGTTTGCCTATAGGTAGAGACTTTCTATATTTCTTATAGCCTTGCTTTTAATATAGCTTTAACCTGTTTATTCTAATTCTCTTCTCTCTGAAGAGGAAAAATCTGTTAGGTTTTGCAGGTGAGTATTATCAGTTCTTATATTTCTCTTAGTCTTTTTGTCTCTTCTGTTGTTATGTGCTGTTGAGTCGGTTCCAACTCAAAGTGACTCTGTATAGGGTTTCCAAGTTGCTGCTGGTAGGTTTGAACTGCTGACCTTGTGGTTCACAGTCCAGTGCTGATCCTACAGAGCAACACCAGAAGTCTCTTTCTAGCACCTTTCATACTGTTTTTCTTATTAACCAGAGTCTAATGAGTGCTTCCTTCCATTTTTACCCTTTTTGTTCTGTGTACCTAAGATTTAAAAAAAAAAAAAAAAAAAAATCCTACTTGTGTACTTGTGTGTGTGTATTTTTTTTTTAATTACAAAAAAAATGTTAAAGTTACTGCCATAATTAAGATTTTATGTTTTGTATATTTCTTAATGATAAAAACAAAACTTAGTCAATGCATAAGTATATCGTGTTATAGTTGTTAAGTGCCATTTAATTTGATTTAACTCAGCAACCCTGCATAAGGTTCCCGAGGACCGGCTTGTTGGGTTTGAACCACCAAACGTGTGGTTCAAACTGACCCTGCAGTCCAGTGCATTATCCTGCTGCTCCACACCAGGACTCTGTTGGGATGGTTCAAAATTCTCAACAATTTTATTAGGAAGAATTTCATTTAATGTACATGAACAGAGTTCTTTTTATCATTTATACTTGCTTCTTGAGCATGTATGTTGTTGTTAAGTGCTATCGTGTCCATTCCAACTCACAATGACCCTATATAAAGTTTGCAAACCCCACCAGGGTTTGAACCTCCGACTTTGTGGTTAGTAGTCCAGTGCTTATTCTAAAGTGCTACACCAGGACTCCTAAGTATATATGTTGTTGTTGTTAAGTGCTGTCGAGTCAATTCAGACCCATACGACCCTGTATAGAGTTTTCAAGGAGCAGCAGCTGGTGAGCTTGAACTACCGACCTTGTAGTTCAAATGACTTTGCAATCTGGCGCATTAACCCACAGCACCACACCTGATTGGAGTTTACACCAGGGGCTTCAAAAAAAAATGTGTGGAAAGATTCCATTGTCTTCTAAGTTCATTTTTCACAAATTTTTTGTCTTCATAATATAACAGTAGATCCTGTTATGCTTTATAACAGTTAAATGAAAATATGTTTGGATTTCACCTTCCTACATAGATGTAATCAAGGTATATTTTCTACAAGTCATGACCTTATATTAATGTGATTATGGTTTTTCCTTTCAAATAGATAGAACTGCATTCACAGTTTTTTAATTCACATCTTGTGGTGCAGTTGAATTATGTGATAAGGCTCTTCTCGCCATAGTCTTTGTAACTACCACCAAATGAATGTGATAAGGCTCTTCTTTCCATAGTCTTTGTAACTACCACCAAATGACAGGGGGGTGCTGCTGCTACGTGCCGTCAAGTCACTTCTGACTCATGGCAACCCTGTATAGAGTTTCCAAGGCTGTAATTCTTCACAAGAGCAGATAGTCTATAATCTCTCCTGTAGAGTGGCTATTGGGTTAGAACTGCTGACCTTGTGATTAGCAACCCAACACATTAGCCCACTATGTTACCAGGGTCAGTAAGCTATATGGGTTTCCAGTGTGGGGACTGGCCAGCATTGCCATGCAGGTGAGTATAAAGTGGGCCATTTCAGAGGAGAGAACAAAGGCTCTTAATGACCATCAAGAAAGAAAAGCCACAAGCACAGTATAACTTTAAACCCCAAGATATTTGTGTGGATAGATGTTAGTAGCATAGGTGCTAAAAGCACGTGACAAAACAGTGGGCCTACCAGCCCTTGTTAATTGCTGTCAAGTCGAATCTGACTCGTAGTGTCTGATTCCAGTAAGTGGCTGGTGGATTTGAACTGCCAACCTTGCGGTTAGCAGTACACTGCTAATCTTACAGTACCACACACAGACTCTTGGAACAAGTAAACCTGAGTGCCTTTTAGGTAGGCTGGCTTGCAGTGAGGAGTGGTCTGTGGGCATTTATCAGCGGTAAAGGAGCTTTGTAACACTTGCCTTAGCAAACTATATGCCAAGGGGCGAGAGATATGCATGTGGGTGGTATGACTGAGAAGAGGCACTCCTTACTCTGGACTATTATCTTCAATTATACTTTTTAACTTCCCTGATACACTCCATAATTGTGAATATTGTCTCTGAGTTCTGTGTGGCCATTGTAACAGTTATCAAACCCAGCAAGCAGAGAACTAGAAAGTACCATGAGTCCGGATGGTGTGGCACTGTAGAATATGCACTAGACTGCTAACCTCAAGATCACTATGAGTCAGAACTATAGCTTAAGAAAATAATAGATACGGTAAGCATATTGAATGTGTCTTCAAGCTATAGTGACTCTTTGGAAATTATTCTTTCTACCCAAACTCCCAAATTTAAGAATTGGTCACTGAGATCATAAAATTACAAAAAAGGAGTCTCTGACTTAAGACATATTCAGCTTATTACAGATCACACGTACAATTTATCAGTGAAGTGCCTTCGAGTTGGTTCCAATTCATAGTGACTCTTTATAGGGTTTCCAAAGAGTTGCTGATGAGTTTGAACTGTCAACCTTGCAGCTCAAACCAACCTTGAAGTCCATTGCTTATCCTACAGCACTACATCAGGACTCCATCAGTTAAGTGTCATTGCGTCAACTCTGACTCATAATGATCCTGTATAAGGGTTTCTGAGGAGCGCTGGTGAGTAAACCACATGCCTTGCAGTTCAAACCCTATCTTGTAGTCCAGTGCATTATCCCACAGCACCACAGAAGGACTCCAGTCAGTTGTTAAGTGCCCTCGAGTCAATTCTGACCCATAGTGACCCTGTAGGGTTTCCAAGGAACAGCTGATGAGCTTAAACTGCCAAGCATGCAGTTCAAATGGCTTTGCAGTCTGGTGCAGTACTAATTGTACATATATAATATTATACAACTGAGAGGTCCTGGCAGTGTTTTCATGTGTGAATAGGGTTGCTATAAGATGGAACCAATTCTATGGCACCCAACAACAATTTGCACTAAAGGCATATTTACAAAGAGGCTAAATCAATGCCTGGTTTCAAGGCATTTTAAGAAAAGCACACTGCTGCTTGAAAGAAATGCTGCTGTATTTAAATCAAGACTTATTTTGGTTTGCCATCATGAAAACCCCTGAGAATTCAAACACATGGATAAAAATCAGCTGCGGGTCTACTACAGGAATAACTCAAGCCCTGGATGACGATTGTGTTATTTAAAGACTAATATTTAAACTTTCATCCAGGAAGCCAGTGGCAACTACCAAGATTGTGCTGCTATTCATTCAATGCCTCAGAACATCCTCCTCCATCGTCAGGATGTGAAAGTGTATCTACTTCCCAAAACGATAGCTGTGATTCAGCCTTTGGATCAAGGGGCAATCGCCA